AGTGCTTCCTTTATTATAAGGGCAAAAAACTGACCACAAGAGCAGGGAAGGAAAAAAAATCATGTTTAAAATTCAAAAACATTTACATTTTTATGATAGATCTCTTTATATCTTTGTAAATTCTCAAAGGTGGGAGCGAGGGATAGAAAGAAAGAATGTGTGTGAGAGAGTCAGACAGATAAAAAGAGAGAGATGGAGATAGAAAAGGAGGGAAGGAGAGAGAGAGGAGAGACAGAGACAGAGAATGTTCAGTAAAATAGGAAATGATATAATTGTTGATAAGAATAAAAATGTTATTTCTTTTTTTCTTTTAAAATTCCATCTTAAAGTTTATGATTGAATCAAAGAATCAGGCTCAGGAATTTTTTTATTTTCAGGCATTTCTTTAACCACAATTTGCTATTACCACCACTACCACCATTACTACTACTACTACTACTACTACTACTACCACTACTACTACTACTATTTTTGTCCACCACAATATATAGATATATGAAATATAAATGTATGATACATTTATATTTGCACATTATGTATCAATATATAACAACTTAATATATTTATATATTTTATTTACACTCTATTAATAATAATTTTTTAAAAAACTTACCTAGCTTAGGTCAGATAACCGCCTCACAGTTAAGTGATTTCCCTCTTGGGGAACATATAATCATGCCAGTGTTTAAACCCATTACTTCAAAAAGACAGCATGGCATAGTGGAAAAGTAATTGAACTTAGAAAAAGAAGGATCTGATTTGACTTTTAGATATGATTAGATTACAAATGTGATCTGATTAGAAATTAGAATCAGAGGAATCTAGCCTTGCCACTTATTTCCATTGGTGACAAACTGCTTGAGCTGCTTGAGCCTGATTTCTCATTTGCAAAGTGAAGATAATTACATCCGTCCCATGTTTTGCAGCCCTATGTGAGGATGAAAAGAAATGTTGTATAAAACTTTGCTTTATACAGGCTTATAGATTTTTTCAAAATCTTAATTTTATTAGCAGAGAGTTAACATGAGAATTCCAGAACTTTCTGTTGCATGCTTGTTAGGATGTTATGATAGAGAACTGATTAACTTTTCCTTCCTAAAGTCTTGTTCAATAAAGTGTTTGTATAATTTTTTCAATCTATGAACCACCATGTGCATAGAGTAGGCCCTTCTGCATTTATATGGCTACAGTTCTTGCTTTTAGCTGATCTTTTGTGCCTTCTTTGCTGGGGACAGTGGCAAGAAGTGGATCCAGACATGGAGATCACAAAGGAAAGGTGAGGAGTGAGGGATTAGAAGTGACACAAAAGCCAATTACTCCTGGCCCACCTTCTCTCCCCCCACCCTCTGCATTGTTTCATCAGAGATGGTGTGACACCAAAATAACCCCCTCCTTTTTCTTGGAAACCCACTATCCTGGAAACTCAAGAGGCTTGTCAATTTCAAATCTTTCCTCAAGTATCTAATCTCCCTTCTCAACTGACTACTGATACTTTGAGACTTTGGAGACTGGGATTACGATGACAGAGGGTGATGTGTGTGTTTAGGCATAAGAGGAAGGAGACTAGGACTTACCAACCAGTGAGCAATGGCACCTTTAGAAGCATTTTCAGGACAGGAAAGCTGTCATTTTCAAAAGGGAATATAATCTGTGTTAACCTATTCATTGATCAAAGCACCATGAACATATTTGTGATTGTATTGTCTTGATGGTAAAGAGGAGCTGCTATAGCTGATAGCTTGTCCATGACAGCTGGTATAAAGGTGAAATCAGCAAGCCAAGTCTACAAGCATTTTTTTTTTAAGGAATTACAATGTGCCAAATGCTGTACTAAGGGCTGAGAATATAAATATAAGTAGGAAAAAGCCCCCACTATCAAGGAGCTTATTTCAAGGAGGAAGACAAACTGTAGGCTGGTCTTATGGAGTAAAAAAAAGCAAACCAAAATGAAACAAAAGAGGGAAACCATCATCTTAATACAAAATTGCATTCAGCAAAGACATCTAGAAAACACTGAATTAAGAGATGAGAAACGGAATCAAGAAACCTAGACTCTATGCCCAGCTCTGTTATTTGCTGTGAGAGTCTGAATAAGTCAAGAGTCATAAATTAAGAGTGGTGATGGAATTTGTAGATTATATTTAAGTCCTTATATCCTATGTCTTCTTATAGGTCCAATGTTCTCATTTTGCAGAGGGTGGGGAATAGATCATAAGCAATTCAAGTGATTTGCCTAATGTCAAAAGGCAGTGAACTGTCAGTTAAGTACCCTTTATCTCAAGCATCTTTAGCTTCAAAATGAGAACAATAATGTGTGTCCTATCTGTATTGTGGTATTGCCTTTCAGACCAATGAAATAATGTACAGAAAATAATTTTGCGATAGTATTACCTCTCTTTTTTTTCTCCTTGCCTCACTTCTCCTATCATTTTCATTTGCAAAGGTCCCATATTTATTTTCATTATTCTTACCATTGAATAATAATAATAATGATAATAATAACTGATGTTACATAGTACTTTAAGGTTTGTGAATCATTTTTCATTAATTTTCTCATTGAAGTTGTATAACCACCTCCTGTGGAAGGCATCTCTGATATTTATCCCTATTTTGCAGATGGGGACATTGAGATTCATAGAGGAAAAGTAAGAGATTCATCAACGTTCCCATAGCTAGTTAAACAGACAAGTGAGCTTCAAATTCAGATTTCTCCAGACTCCAAACCCATGAATCTAGCTATTATTTTATGCTTTTTCCTTTATTCCTTTTTTTAATACTCATAGGCCAATGATATTTTAAATATCCTTACGTAAGTCAGTCAATCAGCAAATATTAAGCACTTGGTATGTGCCAGGCCCTGTGTGCAATGCTCTGGGCTTGCACAGAAAGACAAAAATAGTACTTTCCTTCTGGAAGCTCAGATACTAATTGGGGGAGACAACATGCTAACAAGTATGTATAAACATGATATATAGAGGATGAGCTGGAAGTAATCTCAGAGGGAGGTGGCCACTTTCTCTCTGTGTCTGTCTCTCTCTCCATTAATACATGTGGTTTCTTTGGCATAAGGAGTTCATGATGAAGTATTTCCTTTACCAAGGAAGATCAATCCATCTTCAAATAATCTTAGAGAGTGAGATTTTCTTGAGACAAAAATGGTAAGTAAGTTATGCAGAGTCTACATAGAAGAAAAGCTATATTTAAACTCCGTTATTGGAAGGTCAGCTCTTTGTCCACATCCTCATGTCATACCAGTGACAGAAATTTGTACTACACTTCCAGGTCTCTATGTTCTGTTATATGAGCTGTTGCCTTACTTTTTGAGGGCCCAGACCATTCTCACAACTTCAAAGTCATTTCTACATTATGACCCCTTATGAGTACCTTTTAGACTTAGAAGGATGATAAGGTTCTGAGCAGTATTACATAGAGTTGACTTACAGACTAGAAATATCTCTATTGAACCCCAGATAAAGGTTGGGGGATTTTTGGTAAGATCGCACCCCTTCTCCCAGTGTTTTTTGTCCAATGGTCAATTACCTATACTGTTAATACACTTTTTTTCTTAGATCAAATGTGGCACCTTGATATAATTTAAGCCCATTCCCACTACTCTTAAATATACAGAAAAAAAATTGTCTTCTTTAAACTAACCATTGGCTAGAAAATAGTTTGTACAGAAGCTCTATCTACATAATGCCAGGACAGGTGGTTGAAATGTGAACATTTCATGTATAATGGTGTCCATTATGCAACAACTTCATCTTATGCTTAATTAATATCATGTCAGACACTGAGCACATCATCACAAAAAAACAAACAAACAAATAAACAAACAAAAACAAGAGAAAAGGAAATCTAATCAACCTGAGCCAAACTGACATAAGAAAATCCTTGGGTGTAAAATTGAATTTAGTAATCTAGATCACATTTGCAATTACTTCAGAGTGAATGTTGATAAATTACATTTGAAAGACTCCTTTCCGTTATGTAGTTTGATTAGAGACAATGTAAATTTCTACCTTTCTGAGGGATCATTGTTGTAAAGAGTGATACATGCTTTAAAAGCACCTGCCCAGCTATGGTGAAATGAGAGGAAACTGAAGAACAGGGCTGATTCCACCTGGGCAGGCCTGAGAATAGGAATACTTGAGTAGAATTCTGTGTTGAAATTGCATTTTATCTATATGATGAATTGAGAAGGGGAAAGAGAACAATATTGATGAAGAAATTGAGTGTTTAAGTGACACTGGAGATCATGATAGCAGTCAGAGATTAAGTGATTTGGCCAAGTCACATGTGTAAGTGGATGAAGCTAGATTTGAACTTAAGTATTACTCACTGTAGGCCCAAAACTTTATGCACTGTACCATCTAACTACTTAACAAATCTATTTGTACGACTTTTGGATTCTGTTTCAGATCCTGGTTCTGACCCAGTTTCCATTACAGATACAGCACTACTTTCCACTACTTTTCAGTCATGAACTTCCACTATCTACATCCTGCATGTCAATTTTGTTTCTGGCCTGTAAATAGCTCAGAGAATTCCTAATCACGGATAACCCTCACACCCCAGATTCAGATAAGTTAATTATAGCATGGAACTCACTTGGCCTAACCACTTGGCTGGAACAGTAAAGGGACCTTTCAACAAAAGCACTGAAGGTAGTATAAAATGTCAGATGAAAAAGAGCATGATTTCCCTGAAGGAAAACTCTGTGTGTGTGTGTGTGTGTGTGTGTGTAATCTAAGTCTGCAGGGAGAATGAATTCATTGAGAGGATATCTCAATAACCAAATCATGTTTCTCCATTTTGGGTCTGTGGCATAATACAGTTAGATGACTTTGTCAAAATTTGATTTTGGAATATCAAGGTATTTTTTATTTGCCTCATTTTAATTCATATCTTTGTTTCTTTTTCTTTAGTGAGCAAAATAATCTATTGTTTGTTGGGTTTCGCACATACCCTGACAAAAGAAAATCTGACCGCCTACTCATATGGCATCAAGCAATAATTCATATGTGGCTGAGTTCATCTTGCAAAGTTTCTCTGAAAATCCTCAGGGTCAGATCTTCATCTTCAGCCTCTTTTTAGGACTTTTCATAGTGGCATTCACAGGTAACTCCCTCATTGTCATTGTGATCAGTCTAAATCCAGGCCTCCATACTCCCATGTACTTTTTCCTTATAAATTTGGCCTTCTTGGATGTTCTCTCGGCCTCCACTGTGGTGCCCAAGTTGCTGCAGAACCTAATGACCAAGAACACCATTTCCTATGGGGGCTGCATAGCTCAGATCTATTTCCTAACTTGGTGTTTGGGGGCAGAGCTCTTGCTTTTCACAGCCATGGCCTATGATCGATATGTAGCCATCTGCCGGCCCCTCCACTACAGTACTATTATGGGCAAGGCAGCTTGCTGCCTCATTGCATGTGCAGTGTGGGCAATCAGTGGGACCAATATAACAATCAACATCATCTTGACTGTCCGCTTGTCTTTCTGTGGCCCCAATGTCATTGATCATTTCTTTTGTGAGATTCCTCCATTATTGCCTCTCTCTTGCTCCTCAACTTATGTCAACAATGTCATGGTAGTTGTGGCAGACATGTTCTTTGCTATTTCCAATTTTCTGCTCCTCCTGGTGTCCTATGGTTTCATCATCTCCAGCATCTTGAAGATCCGGACCAAGGAAGGGAAGAAGAGAGCATTTTCCACTTGTTCGTCCCACCTTATAGTGGTCACCATGTATTATTGCCCTATAATTTATATCTACATTCTTCCTGGTTTGGGTCGGTCTCTGAAAGAAGGCAAAGTAGCTTCAGTGTTTTATACCATAGTAACTCCAGCCTTGAACCCTCTGATCTACTCCCTGAGAAACAAGGATGTGAAAATAGCCCTCAAGAAATTATGTCCATTTCTTAGGAAATAATTGGCCTTTTGGGAAACTGATATAACTCAGAACAATGTCTCTGAAACAGAAAAGTGTACATAGACCATAGCTTTACACATCGTTTCTTCTGGTAGGCAATGCTTCTGAACTCAGGATGTGTTCTTAGTTGAACCAGCTAACTCCCTTGTTACATTTTCTCTTGAATATTTTTAATGAAGGAAAAGTCAGCATGTCACCAAAGAATAGCACAGAAACATTTGAAGTGCCATACCATGTCAGATCCTTGGTTTAAACAGAATAGAATTTTGTGGCCAAGACACATTCTAAGAGATAATTTATTTGAAGTCATGGTTGCCTATTCTCTCTGATGTCAAATACTTATATGAGACTTATTGGAGTTTTTATTAGCAACTTGATACACTTCAGGTGCGCTGGGAAATGCCTCAGTCAGGTCTCTAACACCACAAGAGGACTTCCTTTGATGTAACTGAGGAGTAAAGAAAAGGCCTTTCCTTGCTTTCTCTCCTCATGCAAAGGAAAGGGCTTCAACTAAGTCTGATTGCATTAGAGAACTTTGGTGACTGTGGCAATGGAAAAGGCTTAAAGAATGACTATCAGTATGGACAGGTCCTCAACCTGATTCCATCTGCAGAGTAAAGGAGATCTAGAATGCAACTCCTGAGGCCTCAGCAACAAATATGAATGATCATACAGAAAAAAAAGGAGTTTTATTATGCCAGGAATGATCAAAGCACCAACCCAGAATAACCCCAAAAAAGTGACCTGTAATCAGAACCTCAGAGAAAAATGTATTCCCACACAACAATTAGGATTCTTCATACAAATGTCTTTTTGTTTAATTATAAAAGTAATGAGACCTATGTGAGGACAAAGAATAAGCATTTATGTGGTGGCTAATATGTGTCCGGCACCATTCTAAGTCCTTTTTTCAAATATTATCTCATTTTCTATTCTCAACAATCTGACATATAGGTGCTATGATTATCCATGTATTGCAGTTGAGGAAACAGAGACAAATAGAGCTAGTAAGTGTTGGAGTCCAAATTTCGATTCAAGGCTTTCTGATTCCAAACCTAGTGCTCTAGAAAAGGAAAATTGGAACTAAAGCTCCATAGTTTAACAGAAGAGGTATAAAACCATACTGCAGTAAAAATTCACTGCAAATCAGAATGCATCAAATTAGTGACTCTAAAAGTCAACAAGTATTCTTAAAATAAAGTGAAAAGAAAGAAAGTGAAGAAACTGTAAGGTATTTGATATAAAAAAAACTGATCTAGAAAATAGATCAAGGTGAGATAACTGAAGACTTATTATGTAGCAATCCCCAAAAAGTAGTTGGTGGGTCACAAATTGCCCTGGGACTTATAGTTTTGCACAAAGAAAACTAAGTGGAGATCAGTCTTCAATTGTGGGTGCAGGTGGAGATAATTTTTCACTCACAATGACAATGAGAGTATTGGGATTCTCAAAAATGTGGACCTTACTTTATAAATCTGCCTTATGTTTCTTGAGCCAAGTTACAACAGAATGACTTGAACTTCATAATCAAAAAGAAAAAAGGAATTAAATATCACTTTTAAGAAATCACTAAAAAAATACCCAGACATGTAAGAACAGGAGGAAAAACTGAAAATAGAGAGAATACATTGATGACCTCCTAAAAAAAATTCCAAAATAAAAAACTACTTGATGTGTCATTGGCAGTATCCAGAGCTTCCAGAAAAAAGAAAAAAAATAGCAGTCAGAAAGAAAGAATTAAAATATTGAAGAACCATAGTCAAGACTGAACAAGATTTAGCAGCTATCACTTCAAAGAAAGGGAGAATATGGAGTGAAACATTCTGTGAGGCAAAATACAAAGGTAGGTAACCAAGAATATTTAGCCAGTAAAACTGAATATCATATGCTATGAATAAAAATGGACTTTGAGTCAAATAGATTTTCAAATATTCTTGATAAAAACAGATCTGAAAAGGAATTTTGAAACACACATATAGAACTGTTTATAGTCTAATGAAGATAGAAGAGAATGTTAAAAGATTTCTTTTGGAACCCTGTTATCACAGGGATCATTGAGGAAGTCAACTGAGACAAAGATTGATAGACAGTTTTGTTTTGAAGATGTAAGAAAAGAGGCAGTTGGAGAATATATGTTAAGGGGAGATGGGAGAAAAATGGCAGCCTTGTGAAGACATAATCAGCTTTTATAAGTAGGCATATATCCAAACACGGATAAAGTGAAGAAAGTGAATGTCCCTTGAATTAGGTTTCAATCTAAACTGGTCAAAAGAGGGCAGAACACACACAGAGTTTGGTGTATAAATATATTTAATTGAGCACGGAAAAAATAAGTAAAAGTAGAGGGAAAGGGGAAATATAAGTGGGAAGGTGTATTCAGGAAACTGTGTTTTTAAATGTAACAAATCTTATGCTTGGAGAGGGGATAGTAAGGAAAAGGTTAAAAGTAGGGGAAAGAACAATAACTTTAAATAAACATGAAGAAAAGAGTATAGAGAAGGAAAACTACAAGAGAATAAAATGGAATGGAGTAAACAATTAATTATCATAGCTCTGAGCATACTTATGATGAACTCATCTATAAGAAATTAGCAGAATGTCAAACTACCAAAAATTATTTTAGAGAGCTAAAAAAATAATGACAAGATTCATTTGGAATAACAAAAGGTCCAGAATATCAAGGGAACTAATGAAAACAAATGCAGAGGAAGGTGGCCCACCCATTCCAAAAATATTCATAGTACCTCTTTTTGTGGTGGCAAAGAATTGGAAACTGAGGGAATGTCCATCAATTGGGGAATGGCTGAACAGGTTGTGGTATATGAATGTAATGGAATACTATTGTGCTATAAGAAATGATGAGCAGGCAGACTTCAGAAAAAACTTGGAAAGAATTGTATGGACTGATGCTGAGTGAAGAGAGCAGAACCAGGAGAACTTGTACACAGTAACAGCTATGTTGTGTGTTGACTAATTTGGTAGACTTAGCCCTTCTCAGCAATGCAAGGATCTAAGACATCTGCAAAGGTCTCACAATGGAAAATGCTATCCACATCCAAAGGAACAACTATGGAGGTTGAATGCAGATTGAAGTATACCATTCGCCATTTTTTTCTTCTGTTGTGTTTTGGTTCCTCTTTCTGGTTGTTCTGCCTATTGATTTGAATTTTTTCGTGCAACATCACTACTGTGAAAATACATTTAATAGTAATGTGCATGTATAGCCTACATCAGATTGCATGCTGCCTTGGGGAGGGGAGAGGAGGGAAGAAGGGGAGAAAAATTTAAAACCCAAATGCTTATGGAAGTGATTGTTGATAAGGTAAAATAAATTAATAACAAAAACATCCCCTTATTCTTGTTATAAATCCCACTTAATCTTTTAGCTAGTATTTTATTCAGGACTTTTACATCCATATTCATTAAGGAAATTGGTCTATAATTTTCTTTTTCTGTTTTTGTGCTTCCTTGTTTAGGTATCAATATCATATTTGTTTCATAAAAAGAATTTGGTAGGATCCCTTCTTTACCTATTATTCCAAATAATTTATTAAATATTGGAATTAGTTGATCTTTAAATCTTTGATAGTATTCACTTGTAAATCCTTCTGGTGCTGATCTTTCTTACTTATTAAGCTCATTTATGGCTTTTTCAATTTTTTATTTTAAAAATAAGTCTGTTTAGATATTTTATTTCCCCTTCCACTAATCTAGGCAATTTATATTTTTGTAAATATTCTTCCATTTCACTTAAATTGTTGAGTTTATTGGCATATAATTTGGCAAAATAACTCCTTATAATTCCTTCAATTTCATGTTTGTTATTAGTAAATTCACCCATTTCATTTTTAATACTAGTTATTTGGTTTTCTTCTCTCTTTTTAAAATATATCTATATCTAGATATTGTTTTCCTTTTTTTGGAAAACCACAAAACAGAAGTTACCCAGTAAAGTATAATACCAAAGTTGAAAAAGTTGGATCTTTAATGAAATAGAAGACTGACATGTATTCCTAAAGAAAAGAGCAGCTATGGAAAAACTTTGAAATTCAAATACAGGAGTTAAAAATCATGAAAAGATAAACATAAGAGACAAAAGAAGGATAAACTACTTAAATTCAAATATGGGGGAATGATACATATATTTCTTCTTTACCTTATCATCATCAGTGTTCATAGAGGGAGTCTAGACTAAAAGCCTGAGAGTGATTCTGTTATGTAATGATGATCTTAACAAAATGGAAAGAAAAGGGGAAACTAACACCTAGGAGAGGGGGTAGAGGGCAAGAAAGTTTAAAGAAAAGTATTTTACATAATTAGAGTGCACAAGTGCCCATCTATTCAAGCAAGAACGATGGGAGGGAAGAACAGCTGAGGCTTTAACCTGACTCTCATCTGAACTGGTCACAGGAGGAAAGACACACACACACACAAACACTCACACACACACACACACACACACATACACAACTGTGCTTCACACAGTCAAGCTTATGTGACCCTTTTCTACTTCTTCACATAGTCTACTTCATCTGAACTGCTTCTTTTTGCAGTCATGGAAAAGCATGATTGCCCAAAATACTCTGTATTGTTTTGGTGTCTAGAGTGTGCTCCATCTGTGCCTTATTTATTCATTAAACACTATTCTTGAAATGTAACTTTCTTGTTGTGAACCCAATGCCATGAAATTCCCTCTCTCTCCCCTCCCCCATCTCATGTACTTCCTCATGTACTTCCACCTATATAAATAGTGCTAGGACTCTCTTGGCAGAGGCCTTCTATGTGATTGTACATTTTCTGTTTACTTTGGTGTCCTCTGTGTTCATCATTGATAGTATAATTAAAATCCAGACAGCACTGGGAGAGAAGAGAGCATTCTACTCATCCCATCTCATTGTCCTGTCCATATATTACTGATACATTTTAATTATACTAGGCATACATATATATATATACAAGGCTTAGGCAGCTTAGGTGGCACAGCGAACAGAGCAGTGGGC